AAAAAAAAAAAAAAAAAATTCACGACACCAAGAAGTGGAGAAATTGAAATTTGGTTTCGGAACTCGTTGGGCAAGAAAAACACTCCGAATCCATAAAGGCCGTTCTCTACATCACATAATTTATTAAAGAGATCGACCGGTCGATCTCTACTTTATTTTTATTTATTATTTATTTTTATTTTTATTTTTATTGAGGAAATCTTTCGGTGACAAATCGCCACGAGAAAAACGGAGCTGCTTCGTAGCAGATTTGATCGCGGTCTCCCGTCCCAGCAGAGGAAAATTGCGCGCATGCAGAAACTTTTGCTGGATTTTCGAAATCATGTGATTTTGCCTTTTTTTTCTCTGAGATTCTCGAGTTCCCGCGCTCGATCGCATGAAATGTGACGAGCGGTGACATTTTTTTTATTCGGAGACGCTTTGGATCGAAAGAAACGACGTGAACTCGAGTGACAGAAAATGGAGACGGTGTTCGTGGTCGTCATCGTCATCGGCGCCGTGGGCGTCATTTCCTGCATCGTCTTTTTCCTGTACCGGATGCTGACTCGGCGCCCGGGCGATGGCGGTTGGCCCGGTCGCAATCGCGGTGACGGTGTCAGGCATGAGGGCGGCTTTGGCGGAGGTGGCGATATCGGTGGGGATAACGGTTTTGGCTCCAGCGGAGGCGACGATTTCGACGGAGGAGCCGACGATTGTGGCGGAGGAGGCGGCGGTTTTGTCAGGGGCGGCGGCAATTCCGGCGGTTTCGTCAGCGGTGGCGGCAATTCCGGCGGTTTCGTCAGCGGCGGCGGCAATTCCGGTGGATTCGTCAGCAGTGGCGGGGATTCCGTTGGATTTGTCAGCAGTAGTTCTGTCTATTGACGTGCATTTCATTCATGAAAATTATTCTTCTTCATATTTATTCTGGCCTTTTTTTGACCCAACAGCAAGAAGCGTCTGTCAGAAAATTCTCCTCATGAGAAAGCTTTCTAAGGAACAAGTACCGTAGTACCAATAGTACCAGTAGTACCGACAGTAGCAATATGTTACAATAATGGAATAAATTCTCCACGCTGCCCCAAAAGTGCAATTTTCTTACATTACACGAATTGAAATACCGCATTCACCCTCAGAAGGAAACGATTCCCCAAGAACGTTAAACGGATGAATCTTCGACCTCTACGAGATTCGATCCCAGCGGTCCCGATTCTGGTGCAATTAAAGCTGATGGAAAATGACACGAAATACTGTATGCTATACTTTGATGAGAGTGCTCTTCTGCGCGAAGGATATTTGGACCCATCGATGATTTCGAGTCGGAGGAGATTGCAATCACTTCTGTTGTGAGAAATTCAAATCGAAGAGCGTTTGAGTGGGAGCCTTGGAATTAGAGACGCAGGAAAAACCTGGATCGGTAGGCTTAGGCGATTTCGGACGCAGATTTTAAGTCCATTTTGGGGGATATCGCGGGACCAATATTTACTACGGCAGCAAGAGAGGCTTCCTTGAAGTTTTTCCGTTGCAAGTAATAAGAGCAGGGTTTTCGACAGCGCACGGGGGAATGTGAGGCGATTGTAATGAATGGACCGCCTCAAACTCTCCTCTGGCAGCGGGAAAGCCAGCGGAGGCCGAGCGATCGGGAGCGTGTTGCTGATGGGAGCTAGTCTATGGGTCAGTTGAGAACGAGGAAGGAAGTCCATCGAGGAGGGAGGGCAAGCGAGGTAGGAGGTCGAGCGGGGAGGGAGGGCAAGAGAGGTAGGAGGTCGAGCGGGGAGGGCGGGCAAGAGAGGTAGGAGGTCGAGCGGGGAGGGAGGGCAAGCGAGGTAGGAGGTCGAGCGGAGAGGGAGGGCAAGCGAGGAGCGAGTACAAGGATGGTGGAAGAGAAAGGGAGGAGGGAGGGCTCCTGTTTCCCTGAAGTATTAGTCACAAGGGAGACACTTGGCGAGATTAGGGGTCACGTGCGACTGCATGCGGTCCCTTGGGTCACTTTGCATTTCTCAATGGTACACTTTAAAAATCATTATATGGAAATTCCCAGTAAAGGATGGGCAATGAAGTTGTCTGACGTGCGAAGAAAGCAAATGCCCGCTTCGTTGGGGAAAAGACTTTCCTGAGGGACCATTCCTTTCTCTCTCTTAATTCCAAGTCCTGTTTGGATAAGTTGTTCCGTTTGAGGGGTTCCCCGCGGATCCATTGAATTCAGTGTTGGATGGTTTCCCGTTTCCTCTCTGAATGCCTCTGCTAAGAACTAAGAAGGTTCTTAATATGCAATGATTACGACAGGGCGGTTCTCTCCAGAAAGGCTGGAAATATAATTCCACCCCAACATTCTATTTCTCACTCGGTTAAGAATATTAATTCATTCTAAATCCCCAATCTAAATGAAAAGCAACAGTCTTGTTCATTTCCCCAATATTCGGCAGGGAAATTCGAACGGAAACTTTTTTTTCGTAATTTTTTTCTTTACTTGTGAAAAATTGTCGACGATATTGGAGTTCTTCGACGCGCCCTGTCCAATTCTTAAAAAAAAAAACGAAAAAAAAAATTTGGGAAACGAAACCAGCTTGCCCGACCCTTTTTGGGACTGGGTACTATAGGGTAAACTACCCAGTGATGCACCGGTTCCCAGCGATGGGCCAGAGCACATAAATATTGCAACAAAAGCATTCCGCGGCACGCATACCGCGTAAGTATAATACACAATTCAGAGGTGTTCATACCACGATTGCTGTGGTGTTAATTTTTCATAAACTTGATATCATGTACTTCACGTCAGATGGAGTGACGTCTAGTTGATGTAAAATACAGGGTACACTTTGGTGACGTAAATAAAGGAGAGTAAATTTTATGTAAACGTGATGTCATTTTCATAGCAATCGCAATAAATTTACATTGTTTGCAAGAAAGTGATATCTTGTTTACGTGAACATGCTGCTTGGGTTGCTTCTGTAATTTTCCTCCACGGCCCATCATCGAATGGACGCCCTTAAAATTCCCCGCTCCGGCCACTCCCAACACGAACGGCTGATCTTCTCACAGGGCAAAGGTCGAAACGCGACTCTCCCGGTTGCGAGATGGATGAGGCGTCGTACCCGAGCTTGTGCTGCCATCTGCCCAACGAATGTATCAGCAGTGTAGTACGGAATATGTTCACAAGGTGTCGTCAAGGTGTCTGCATCGTTCTGTGGCAGCAGTCGCTAAAGTGAGCTCATCACTGACGTGTAAATCGAAATATAATTAATTAGAAGGAAGAATGGAAGAATAAGGTGATCGAAGACCAAAGCGCCAGCCCAGAGAGGGCCGAGAATGAGCCCGACGGAGTTGGCGACCCGGCGAAGGGCCTGCATCTTCCCCTGGCAGTTCGGACGGACCAGCTTGGAACCCAGGGTCAGAGAGAACACGGAGGACATCGGGACGCCGAGGAAAACCAAGGAGCAGGAGACGATGAAGAAGGGGAAAACCTGATCCGGATGGGATTCCTGGAAACGGGTCGTGATCATGAGAGATATCAACGCGATCACGACCAACAAATTCCCCAGCAAGATGAGAGTCCGGTCGAGAAGTCGATTTCGCATCACGATCACGAAGGCATACGATATCATCGCTTCACCGCCGACAAGCAGAAATAAGAAGGAATTGGCTCGTGTTCCGAGGCCATAATATGTTTGCATGATCGGGGGGATGATGGTCTCCACCAGAGAAAGACAGAAGAATACAGTCGTCTGCATGAAGAGGATGACGACGATCGTGTCGATGAGGAGATCCATGAAGGTGGAGTTTCTCTCCTCCGAGTCTTCCGGTCGATGGTGAGGCGGGATCTCATTCCAAGCATTCTTCTGACTTGGGGTGGAAGAATGCACGGAGTGGAGGAATTTCGCTTTCGAATCCGAGTCCTTTCTGTTCATCGTGGAGTTGGGAGTGCTGTTCTCTGCGAAGTCTCTGGCGTCGCCATTGGGCAAATGCAAAAATGTCCCGTAGCGGACGATTTCAGAATCTTTAGCAGCGGCTATCAACTTCTGCAACGCGATGTATTGCTCCCCGACGTTTTCGTATGCAGCGAGGATGACGACCGAGGCAAGCGACCAAAAAATCGCGAAGATGAATCCGGGTAGGGACTCTTCATTCACCTGAACGTCCCCGAACTGAGTATCGACATCGTGCAAGGCCAGGTTGTAGGCTGGACCGAGTATAACTCCCAATTGCTGCATGCTAAAGCCAAGGGTGAAGAATTTGGCCCGCTCTTCGTTGGAAGTTGCTCTGGCCAGTTCGGCAAGGACGACGATGAGGGTCCCGCTCCCGAACCCGCAGATGAATCTCCCCGATATGATGAGCCACTTGTTGATGCCGAGGAAGTACATGACGCTCCCTGCGATCTGCGTCAGGGCACCGATGAACACGACCGGCTTGGAAAGGTGCATCCGCCTGTCCACGAGCCAGCCGAAGAATACAGACGAAATGAGGGCAGCCACATTAAAAGCCGAAATGAGGATCCCCAAATCCGTCTCGTCTCTGCGTACAACAGCACATCACTCAAAAACACTGGATGAAGCCACGTTCGAGGGATTTGTGAGAAACAGCACCGACCTGGAGCCAAGCATCTGCAGGTATTTCCACGCAGTCGGGAAGATGACGGCATTCTCGGATCCGATGGCGAACGCAATCACGAATGCAATTATCGTGGTCACCAGCCGACGCCGATAGAATTTTTTTGTCGCCTCCTCCACGATGTTCGACATGGACGCAGACATCTCTAATGTTCACCTGTAGAAGCTTATCAACCAACTGAGGGACAGAAGAACCCGTGTCTCTCATATCTCCCTTATCTATATGAAAACTCTTGAAAATGCGTCTATACTCTAATTCCCTCAATAAACACTCCATAGGACGTGGAACTGGCCCTTCGGTTCCCCCCCCCCCTCCATCCCGTGTTGCAGATAACCTTCTACTACCATCTTAGATAAATAATTTCTATTTTATTTTATTTAAAATTATTAAATAATTTATACCTCCTCGACCATTCGCCTCAAGCCGACCGTACCCCCTTCATTCTCAGTAATATCATTTTCTTTTTTGTCGATTTGCTCCTGAAAAAATGCAGGAGGGCAAGATATATGGACTCCTCGAAGGACCCACGAGAGAGGACCAATCACCAGACTGCTTCGCAAATTTCACCAGTTTTGCGTACCCCTGTTTCCACTTCATCACACTGACGCAGGTCCCAATCCTCTGCGAAACTGTCAAGAAGAATTGCAGGAATGAATGAAGACAGAAGAAAAAGTCAGAGAATTTGATTTGGTGTCACTCAATCTTTAAGACGAATTAAGCGTTACTGATTATGCGTGTGGTGGAATCTGACTGGTGAATGTAGAGTGGAGACAATGGAGGAACAATTTTGGAGTCGAATCGCAGATCAGTACCTGGACTTGTACTTAGTCTTTCCAGTCGATCCCCGCCAATATTGTTCGGACACAAAAATTTACGGCATTTCCCTTACTAACCTCTCTCAGGAACAAAAACATCGATCCCTAGAATTTCTTATGTCCGTTTTATCGGGTATTAATCAGCCATGAATTAGAAGTCGGCACGTACAGAAGCATTTTGTCATTTCGGAAGAGGGAAGGCGGAAATGCCGTACTTTTGGTGTCCTTCGAACAATATTAGCGGGGAAATTTTAGATAAGAGTACCAATCCAGATGCTGATCCGCAATTCCTCTGGTCGCAATGAATTGGTTTTTATTTATTTTCTCCANAAATTCTATCGGCGTCGGCTGGTGACCACGATAATTGCATTCGTGATTGCGTTCGCCATCGGATCCGAGAATGCCGTCATCTTCCCGACTGCGTGGAAATACCTGCAGATGCTTGGCTCCAGGTCGGTGCTGTTTCTCACAAATCCCTCGAACGTGGCTTCATCCAGTGTTTTTGAGTGATGTGCTGTTGTACGCAGAGACGAGACGGATTTGGGGATCCTCATTTCGGCTTTTAATGTGGCTGCCCTCATTTCGTCTGTATTCTTCGGCTGGCTCGTGGACAGGCGGATGCACCTTTCCAAGCCGGTCGTGTTCATCGGTGCCCTGACGCAGATCGCAGGGAGCGTCATGTACTTCCTCGGCATCAACAAGTGGCTCATCATATCGGGGAGATTCATCTGCGGGTTCGGGAGCGGGACCCTCATCGTCGTCCTTGCCGAACTGGCCAGAGCAACTTCCAACGAAGAGCGGGCCAAATTCTTCACCCTTGGCTTTAGCATGCAGCAATTGGGAGTTATACTCGGTCCAGCCTACAACCTGGCCTTGCACGATGTCGATACTCAGTTCGGGGACGTTCAGGTGAATGAAGAGTCCCTACCCGGATTCATCTTCGCGATTTTTTGGTCGCTTGCCTCGGTCGTCATCCTCGCTGCATACGAAAACGTCGGGGAGCAATACATCGCGTTGCAGAAGTTGATAGCCGCTGCTAAAGATTCTGAAATCGTCCGCTACGGGACATTTTTGCATTTGCCCAATGGCGACGCCAGAGACTTCGCAGAGAACAGCACTCCCAACTCCACGATGAACAGAAAGGACTCGGATTCGAAAGCGAAATTCCTCCACTCCGTGCATTCTTCCACCCCAAGTCAGAAGAATGCTTGGAATGAGATCCCGCCTCACCATCGACCGGAAGACTCGGAGGAGAGAAACTCCACCTTCATGGATCTCCTCATCGACACGATCGTCGTCATCCTCTTCATGCAGACGACTGTATTCTTCTGTCTTTCTCTGGTGGAGACCATCATCCCCCCGATCATGCAAACATATTATGGCCTCGGAACACGAGCCAATTCCTTCTTATTTCTGCTCGTCGGCGGTGAAGCGATGATATCGTATACCTTCGTGATCGTGATGCGAAATCGACTTCTCGACCGGACTCTCATCTTGCTGGGGAATTTGTTGGTCGTGATCGCGTTGATATCTCTCATGATCACGACCCTTTTCCAGGAATCCCATCCGGATCAGGTTTTCCCCTTCTTCATCGTCTCCTGCTCCTTGGTTTTCCTCGGCGTCCCGATGTCCTCCGTGTCCTCTCTGACCCTGGGTTCCAAGCTGGTCCGTCCGAACTGCCAGGGGAAGATGCAGGCCCTTCGCCGGGTCGCCAACTCCGTCGGGCTCATTCTCGGCCCTCTCTGGGCTGGCGCTTTGGTCTTCGATCACTTCATGCAATACGGGGTTACTCTGGCATTGTTTCTCATTCAGGTCTTTGTGCTCATTTTCTCGTACTCAAGAATGGTTCCCATATGAATCTATTCCTGAAAGATCTGAAAGTATATTGATGAAATTATGCAGTAAAAATTGTCATCAGCAAAGTGTATTGAATCGATTCATGGCTAGCCAAATTTTTACAAGGGTAATCTATGATTGTGTTTCAATGAATAACTTGACAAGGGCTCTAATACACATGAAGGAGAAGGCGGGGTAAGCTTATATATAATAAACACGAGGGAGCATTATCTGGTTCATTCAGTTACCTCCAGGGTTTGCCACTTGCCGGGATTTGCATCATAGAACAATGTAAAAATGACCGGCATACTGCACACGTGGACATGCGTTGAGTTGCGTAGTGTCATTAGATTTCTGCATGCAACAAGCACAAAACCAGCTGAAATACATTAACAGCTCTTGGAAGTATTTGGCCCTGATGCCATGTCACGGCAACAGGTGTATGCGTGATGCAATGCGTTCAAAAACGGCCGTCGGAGATGAGCAGCGACGGATGACAGTCTTTGTCGCGTTGAAGGCATCATCAGAGAAGACCGACGAGCGAAACTTAGTGCTGTTGCAGAGGAACTGAGCATCTCTATAGGTACCGTGCATCGTATTGTTCATGCCCAGTTGGGGTACCGAAAAGTTTGTGCCCGCTGTGTTCCCAAGCAGCTCACAGACGGCCACAAATCCAGCCGAATCTCACTGCGCTATTTGACAAGTTACCGGACAGAAGGTGTGCATTGTGACGCGGGATGAGACATGGTTGCACCACTGCAGCCCATAGAAACCAAAGTTGGATCCATGACAGTGGAAACGCCCGTCATCTCCGACTGCTAAGAAGTTCAAAACGATGCCGTCAGCGAGGAAGGTGCTGGCAACTGTCCGTGGAACGCTATCCCTTACGGAAATGGTCCTATGCGCCATAAAAGTCCATTATAATGGTTTAGTTGCACCTCCAAAAAATAGATAGCAGACCTGTTCCGAGCACCAGAAAAAAAGGGAGAACGTGAAGAGAGCTCCACCCTCCTCGATCCCTATTGGCCTGGAATTTCTTTGAACGAAGGGGACGTCCCTTTGAGTCAGGTTCAGGGGCCGACCTTCCTTCGCCTCCTCCCTTGCAGAAAATAATAATACGGAAAATGATGCTGTTGTGATACTTGGACCAATTTGCGAGGAGGTCCCCGAAGCGGAAGAGAGAGCATTGGCACGATAGCCGCCGAAGAAGATATCACTTTCTTATGCTATTTTTCAGTTATCGCGTGCGATCCGGTTTATGGTTGACAGGAAGGCATACTTTGACTTATTCGTTCTGTTGTCTTTCTCGCTGAAGCTCAGAAGACCGGTTCTGTAACGAGGAGAAACCTTGACTTGGACTTGAGGATGCAAAGACAGGCCCAAGTGACATATTGAAGCACTCTAGGAACGCTAAGTAAGCATGACAAAAATGTAACCTCATTCACTGGAATCGAAAGGGGGTGGGGGGGGGGAAGTGTGGACTCATTCGGGTGTGGACACGAGGAACGGTCATCCATTTAATGGCATGCGACGTTTATTAGCTTGCTCGATTGTCTTCCTGTTAGCCAACCTGTCAACGGATTCCCGATTGAATCTAAACCCGCGCCCACACAGCAAGTACCAAGGCCGAAAGAATGGGATGAGAGATGGATGGAAAACAGGCGTGCATGCACTTGAAGGCACATGGCCCTCCCTCAGAGGCGAGGAGAGTGCAGACTCTTCACCCATGCCTTTGTGTAGAGGGGGTGAGGAGGTACCTGAGCTCCTCCCCTCCTCACCCACCCACTTCCTCCTCCCTTCCCCTCCGGCAAGTTCAGATTCCTGCAAATTTTATTGAATTCGACCAGGAACGAAGCAATGCAAGATAGTCCGTGGTTTCATGGAGATGGAAGGTCGTAGGACAGGGGAGGAACGAAGTCAAAGGGGAAGCCCTGAGTCACAGCGATTGTTCAGAGTAAGAGCTGCAGGATCACGAGGCTGTTTTTTTTTCAACCTTCAATCTTTAATTCCAATAAAGGAAACGAAAGAGATGAGGGAGGTAGAGAACAGATAAGGCAAGGGCCGAAGGAGAAGGAGAGAGAGAAAGGGAGAGAGGCCCAAGACAGACCCAAGTTAAATATTGATGCACTCTTACTCTCATCACGCGGAAAGGAACGCTAAGTTAATGTAGCAAAAAAATTGTATAATGCCACTATTAAACGATTTTTTTTTTACTTTTTTTTCACGCTTTTTTTTATTGAAAGAATTGCAGAATGACAAAGTGACAAGAGAGGGGTGAAGGATATAAATAAAGAGAGTATAGTATACATTTATTGTGCGGCAATAAGCATTGCATACACAGTAAAGGAAACAAATGGGGAAAACATTTGAAGGAAGTGTTTA